CCCAAAGCTATTCTTGTACCTCAGCCTCCAGAGTAGCTGGGACTACAGGCATGCACCACCATACCCGGCTAATTTTTGTATTTTTAGTAGAGATGGGATTTTGCCATGTTGGTCAGGCTGGTCTTGAACTCTTGGCCTCATGTGATCCACATCCAGCCTTAAAATCAAAAGGTTTTAATACGTTAATTTTAAATGGGAAAAATGTAAAACAAGTGCATATTTTGAAAGCATAGAGTCGGCCGGGCGTGGTGGCATGAGCCACCTGTAATCCCAGCACTTTGGGAGGCCTAGGCGGGCAGATCATCTGAGGTTGAGAGTTCGAGATCAGCCTGACCAACATGGAGAAACCCCGTCTCTACTAAAAATAAAATTAGCTGGGCATAGTGGCACATGCCAGTAATCTCAGCTACTCTGGAGGCTGAGGCAGAAGAATCACTTGAACCCAAGAGGTGGAGGTTGCAGTGAGCTGAGATCGTGCCTCCAGAGTACTCCAGCCTGGGTGACAGAGTGAGACTCTGTCTCAAAAAAAAAAAGGCATTCACATCAGTGTCAAGAGAACCTGCTACTAATGCTTTCTTTGATAGGCAGTATGGTAGGTTGGAAAGAATATAAACTGTGGGATCAAACTTGGGTTCCAGTATGTTGAGCAAATTATTTAATCTGACACTCATTTTCTTCATTTATAAAACATGAAAAACAACGTCTACCTTCTGGGTTGTACAGCATTGAATTTGATTATGCATATAAGTACCTGGCTTGTACTGGGTGTGGTGGCTCACGCTTGTAATCCCAGCACTTTGGGAGGGTGAGATGGGCGGATCACAAGGTCAGGAGTTCGAGACCAGCCTGACCAACATGGTGAAACCCTGTCTCTACTAAAAATACAAAAATTAGCCAGGCGTGGTGGTATGTGCCTGTGATTCCAGCTACCCAGGAGGCTGAGGCTGGAGAATCACTTGAACCCGGGAGGTGGAGGTTGCAACGAGCCAAGATTGTGTCATTGTACTCCAGCCTGGGTAACTCCATACCCCCCCCACCAAAAAAAAAAAAAAAAATTAAGTACCTGGCTTGTGCTAGTAACTTTAATATTTTGGAAAGAACAGCAAGTGATACGAGCTATAGACCAGATTTTTAAATACAAATAAAAATTTTAGGAATGTGTTCCAATTATTTATTTATAGTGGAGTTTCCTCAAATTGATTTTTGTTTGGATTATTGCTTAGGGGTTTGCATTTTTTTTTTAATTGTTTTTTTGAAATGGAGTCTCACTCTGTCGCCCAGGCTAGAGTGCAGTGGCGCGATCTCAGCTCACTGCAACCTGAGTGCAGTGGCGCGATCTCAGCTCACTGCAACCTCCGCCTCCTGGGTTCAAGCGATTCTCCTGCCTCAGCTTCCCGAGTAGCTGGGACTACAGGCACCCGCCACCATGCCTGGCTAACTTTTGGTATTTTTAGTAGAGACAGGGTTTCACTGTGTTAGCCAGTATGGTCTCGATCTCCTGACCTCGTGATCTGCCTGCCTTGGCCTCCCAAAGTGCTAGGATTACAGGCGTGAGTCACTGCGCCTGGCTGGGGTTTGCATTTTTATTGTAAAGGGATTTGCATTTCCTTGATAATAAATCATCTTTTAGATCACTTTTAATTTTTTTTTTTTTTTTTTTTGAGACGGAGTCTCGCTCTGTCGCCCAGGCTGGAGTGCAGTGGCGCAATCTCGGCTCACTGCAAGCTCCGCCTCCCGGGTTCACGCCATTCTCCTGCCTCAGCCTCCCGAGTAGCTGGGACTACAGGCGCCCGCCACTGCGCCCGGCTAATTTTTTCTATTTTTAGTAGAGACGGGGTTTCACCATGGTCTCGATCTCCTGACCTTGTGATCCGCCCGCCTCGGCCTTCCAAAGTGCTGGGATTACAGGCGTGAGCCACCGCGCCCGGCCTTAATTTTTAATTTTAATTTTTTGTAGCAACAGAGTCTATGTTCCCCAGTCAGGTCTCAAATTTCTGAGCTCATGAGATCCTCCTGCCTTGGCTTGTCAAAGTGCTGGGATTATATGTGTGAGCCACCATGCCTGGTACATAGATCCCATTGATTGGTTTATTGGTTGATTGACTGACTGACTGACAGGATCTCACTCTCACCCAGGCTGGAGTACAATGGTGTGATCTCAGCTCACTGCAGCCTCGACCTTCTGAGCTCAAGGGATCATTATGCCTCTGCCTCCCAAGTAGCTGGGACTACAGGCGTGTGCCACCATGCCTGGCTAATTTTTGTATTTTTTGTAGAGATGGGATCTCACTATGTTGCCCAGGCTGGTCTCAGACTCTTGGGCTGAAGCGATCTGTCCGTCTTGGCCTCCCAAAGTGCTGGAATTACAGATGTGAGCTTCTGTGCCCAGCCATAGATCCCTTTTAAGTAACACTTCTACAACTCCCAATTATTTAGGCTCCTGGCTCACCGTATATTATTCTAATCACTTTTTCTCTGTTGTTTGTATTATTACCTTTTACTTCACTGTCAATATTTTATAAATCATATTAGAAAACTCAAGATTTAAATAAAATCAAAAGGTTTTAATACATTAATTTTAAACAGGAAAAATGTAAAGCAAGTACATATTTTTGAAAGCAAAGTTTTGAGTTAAATTTAGGAAACAGGCATTTAGGCTAGTGGCAAGAAAACTTACATGTTCTTTCTGTGTGTAATTTGGAGGAAGGGATGAATTTTGTCCACAATCATTATTTATTTTTTTTCAGGGCTTGTTAGGAGGCAAAATCATATATATATATATATATATATATTTTTACTAGCAGATTGTTTAAAGGCTAGGTTTTTAAATAAGACTCTACAGGTTTGAAAACTAAGCATTACCAGTTATTGTAACCTTGGGCAAGCTACTTAACCTCTGTGAATCTTAGTATTCCCATCTGTAAAATGGCTATAATAATAGTTTCTACCTTTTAAATTTATGGTATTAAATGAGTGAAAACCTAGAGAGCTCTTGGCATGGTACTTCACACCTACCAAATACTTGGTAAAACTTAATAATATTTTGATGATACTGATGATACCCTGTTCCCTCTTCTAAACTGTGATATTGTATCTGTGCCTGCTCAGCGTTTTCTCTTTTTTTTTTAAAAAAGTGATTTCAGTAGTGTTGGGGGTACAAGTGGTTTTTTTGTTACATGGATGAATTATATCACATAGTGAATTTTGAGATTTTAGTGCACCTGTCACTGGAATAGTGTACATTGTGCCTAATATGTAGTTTTTTATCCCTTGTCCCTTCTCCCACCCTTTCCCTTCTTACTCTCTGAAGTCCATTTTATCACTCTGTATGCGTTTGCATACTCATCTGCTGGGCATTTTCTCTTACACCTTCCTATATTACGTTAAACAGATGTCTAAAATCAAACCCCTCATCCTATATCAAGACCACCTTTTTGGTTGTGCGTATGTGTTTTAAGTGTAGATATGGAATAAACAGCCAGAATTTCTTTCAGTTACTAAATATCGACAGACACCTTAAATATCTCAGTTAAAAGTTGCAGATTATATTATTGGAATTCTGAGAATAATATTGATTGCTGCTTCATGTTACACTAACTTTACTTTTTAAACTTCCGAAACGATTTCATTTGACATAGCAGACCTTAAATAAATATCCACAAGGAGAACTGACTCTAAATGTCCAGCAGGATTTCAGAAACACAGTAAATACTTTTCTTCTATCTATTCTGATCTCCTTGCTCATAGGCTGTCACGTGGAATTTTCAGGCAGCTGTCAGCTCTTCATATTTTCCAGCCCCAGTGCCCTTTTTATAAAATTGGGTGACTGTTAATACATTGATGCTTGGGCGCACAGAGTTGGCACTCAATAAGTAGCTGTTAAGTAAATTAATGAAAAGAAGTACAAGATACAAGATACCTGGTCCCTTCTATCAAAGAGTTTATAAATCAAGTATGAGTGATAATGCCTGAAACCACTTAAAAAAAATCTATGTAAACACCATTATATGTGACATGTCAGGGTAAGAGGAACAACTAACAAATTTGGTACACATTCGGTAAATGAAGAGAAAGGTTTTTGGAGATGAGGGGCTTGAGCCAGACCTTGTATGTGTGCTATTAGAAGCTTTCTGGGATGGACAAATATAAAAACTGCCCTTTGATACTAATAGTATTAAAATTCTGTCTCTTTGGAAGCTGACTGTGTGTTGCTTTAGCCTTAAAGAGATTTATATCCAATCATTGCATTATGCAAGCCATAGAAGGACTGTTTTATGTGAAGATGCACTGATTGCACTTTACTCTCTATATTTTATTGTAGTTAGTTGTTTAGAGCTGTTTCTGTGTAGAGTGTGAGGTCCTCAAGGGAAGGGACCTTCTTGGCCTCTTTCTCCCCTGCATGCTTTGCATAGAGGAGGCACTTCATAAATGTTTATCGAATAAATTCTACACTCCTAATGGGTAAGAATGTGTCATATTACTCTTTTTTTTCTTATGTGCACTGAAACAAATTGTTTCTTGAGATTGGTCCTTAGAATATTTATTTCGTTTTCACTGATTCTCTTGCTACAGGTTAGCTAACCATGCAGCAGGTGCTTGAGTTTCACCTTTCTCCAGTCCAGCAGAATTATATTTTGATGACCTCCGTTTTGATACTTGTAGACCAGATCTAATCTGAAGATTAATCTTTAGGTAACAGATGGAGAGTGATAATGATAACTTCTGTGAAGACAAACCCATGCACACATTCTGTTGTCTGAATAATATTTAAATGAATCCTTCTGCTCCCAAGTCATCACCTTGCCCCTTAACACACATCTCTCTAGAGCACAAATCTGAGCTCCTTGTAGAAGATCTTTGCCCTCTTCACTCTCCAGGCCTTCCTAATTAATGCCTTCTCAGAATTGACCTCTCTCTCTTAATCATTAGTTAAAAGAAAAAGTGACTGGTGTAGGACCTGGGGATACATTGCCACATTCCATTTCCTTCTCTATGAGCAGGATTTCCAATTTCCAAGCCTGGTGGGATCTCCCAGCTGGAACAGGATCTACAGGTCTTTGATCTGGAAACTAAGACTAGAGAAGTCTTAAGAGGTGACTGCTCAGGTGAGTAAGGCAGAATCAATCAATTAGTAGGGAAGTAAAGTTCAGTTGTTCAGCCAAGTTGTAGCTTCTTTGGCACTCAGAATGAAGAGCTCTGTGTGTGTGCTAGCATGGAGAGTTCCTTCCTTTTCCCTTCAGTTAGGCTGACCTTTCCCATTTGTTTAGTACCTGTGCATATGTCGTACTAGACCCCTAATGAAGTTGCTTATCTAAAATTCTTTCAACTGTTTCCCTGTTATCTCCTTACTCTGCTGAACATGTCCGCTGTTTTACCTCACTGCTCCTGTTTATGCCCTTACTTCTGCTGTTGAGATTTTGTGCCTGTTTTTCAGAGGAAATAAACTTTTCTTGTCCTTGTAGATACTACATTGTTTAGTTTTCTCATCTGAGTTTTCTTTTCCTAAGCACAGGGTACAGATTACGTTTGCATTTTCTATTTATATATTGTATCAGATGGAGAGACCAGAGAAGAAAACAAGCTGTCGATTCCTAAGCAGAAAATTTCGGAAGAAGTACATTCGTACAAAGTGAGAGTAGGAAGATTCAAACACGATATTACCCAAGTTCCTGAGACTAGAGAAGTGTATAAGTCTGAGGACAGATTAGAAAGGCTTCAGGAAATTCTAAGGAAATTTCTGTACCTGGAGAGAGAGTTTAGGCAAATAACAATCAGCAAGGAAACCTTCACCAGTGAGAAGAACAATGAATGTAATGAACCCGAGAAAAGCTTCAGTCTGGACTCTACTATTGATGCGGATCAGAGAGTTCTTAGAATACAGAATACCGATGACAGTGATAAGTACGACATGAGCTTCAGCCAGAATTCAGCCTCTGGTAAACATGAACACATAAATCTAACACAGGATTTTCAGAGTAGTGAATGTAAGGAAAGCTTAATGGATCTCTCCCACCTTAATAAATGGGAGAGCATCCCTAACACTGAGAAATCCTATAAATGTGATGTATGTGGGAAAATTTTCCATCAGAGTTCAGCCCTTACTAGACATCAGAGAATCCATACTAGAGAGAAGCCCTACAAATGTAAAGAATGTGAGAAGTCTTTCAGTCAGAGTTCAAGTCTTAGTCGACATAAAAGAATACACACTAGAGAAAAACCTTACAAATGTGAAGCATCTGATAAATCCTGTGAAGCGTCTGATAAATCCTGTAGTCCAAGCTCAGGCATTATTCAGCACAAGAAAATTCACACCAGAGCCAAATCTTACAAATGTAGCAGTTGTGAAAGAGTCTTCAGTCGTAGTGTCCACCTTACTCAACATCAGAAAATTCACAAAGAGATTCCCTGTAAGTGTACTATATGTGGCAGTGACTTCTGCCATACTTCATACCTACTTGAACATCAGAGGGTCCATCATGAAGAGAAAGCCTATGAGTATGATGAATATGGGTTGACCTATATTAAACAACAAGGAATTCATTTCAGAGAAAAGCCCTATACGTGTAATGAATGTGGAAAAGACTTCAGATTGAATTCACATCTTATTCAGCATCAAAGAATTCACACAGGAGAGAAAGCGCATGAATGTAATGAATGTGGAAAAGCTTTCAGTCAAACCTCATGCCTTATTCAGCATCACAAAATGCATAGGAAAGAGAAATCATATGAATGTAATGAGTATGAGGGCAGTTACAGTCATAGCTCAGATCTTATCCTGCAACAAGAAGTCCTCACCAGACAGAAAGCCTTTGATTGTGATGTATGGGAAAAGAACTCCAGTCAGAGAGCACACCTGGTTCAACATCAGAGCATTCATACCAAAGAGAACTCATGAATGTAATGAAGATGGGAAGACATTTAGTCAAATTCAGGCTTCATTCAGCATCTGAGCGCTCACACCAGGGAGAAATCATGTATGTACTGCATGTGGTAAAACCTTCAGTCATAGCTCAACCATTGCTCAGCATCAGATAATTCACACCAGAGGGAAACCCTCTGAATGTGACGAATGAAGAAAAGGTATTAGTGTTAAACTTCTAATTGACTCCGGAAATCGATACCAGTGAGAAATCTTATAAATGTATTGAATGTGGTAAATTTTTCATGCTGTTAATATTTTCATATCTTAGTCACATTCGGATAATTCACACGGGAATAAAATTCCATTGCTGCAGTGAATGTGAAAAAGCCATCAGTCAAAGAAACTACCTTGTTTAGTATCAAATTCATGCCATGCAAAAAGATTATAAATGTAATAAACATGTATGTGTGTGAGGAGATTCAGTCATAACCCAACACTCATTCAACATCAAAAAATTTATACCTAAGATAACTTATTTGGGTGTAGTAAATGGCAAATCTTTCAATAGGAGTTTAGTCTTTGTCATATCAGAATATCCGTAGTAGACAAGAATTTGATGTAATGCAAATGGAAAAACTTGACACCACATTTCAGGCTTTACCCAACATCAAAATAATGGAGAGAAAATTGTTGATTATTTGTTTATGAAATTGTTAATATGTAGTCCCAATCTTTTTCATTACACAAAAATCTAGGGTTGACTTGGTAAATGCAGTGCCATTTTCTCATGGAGTTCCTTTATTTAATATGTATTCTAAGTAGGTACATTTATTTTTACTTTTTTATTATAATTTTGATATTAAAAAGAACAGAGATGGGGTCTTGCTTTGTTGCCCAGGCTGGTCTCGAATTCCTGGCCTCGAGCAATCCTCCCACCTGTCCTCCCAAAGTGCTGGGGTTGCAGGCGTGAGTCACTGTGCCGGGCCTATTTTATTCATAGAACTCATTTAAGCTGTTTTTATTTTAATATGCCCTATAAACATTTTTATTTTTTTTTTGAAATTGGTTCTTAGTGTTCACAACTTCCCTAAGATACTGCTAATGCACCAGTGTTAAAACACATCGACATAAGTAGCTCATTTAGCTTTTTCTGCTGTTCTTGGCCTAAGTTCTCTCCAAAACCAACTCTTAGGCCTGCTCTTTACTAGGGATCCTATGTCATATTGCTTTACAGCCACAACACTTGGATTCCTGTTGATTAACTTCTCCATTCTCTTAAGCACCTTTAGAAGATTTAGAAGTTTCCTAATTTTAAGCGTTTCACCAGCAAGTATTCCATACCTACTTGATGTTGCTGGTCTGGTGTCTTATTTCCTAAAGCGAAGCATCTTTTTTAGAAAAATAATTGGATTGAAAATACATCCAGTCCAATGTAAGTATGAAGGATTCTCTCTCCTGAGATTGTAGCAGGCAGCCAGACATTTTCAAATGATGCCCAAGGTTTTAGCTGTCTTATGTGCATCCACAGTCTGCGAAGAAGAGAGATGATAAGGACATCAGGGAGCCACCAAGACTCCTGGTAGCCTCACTACATTCATCCAGTGCCTATTCTGCATGCCTAAGCTTAGAGTTCTTTTATATACCTCTCAGGCCAGCAGAATGCTCAGGTCTGCTTTTGGTAGGGTAAACATAAAGAAGATACACAGGCTGGGAGCGGTGGCTCACACCTGTAATCCCAGCACTTTGGGAGGCTGAGGCAGGTGGATCACGAGGTCTGGCGATCCAGACCATCCTGGCCAACTTGGTGAAACCCCATCTGTACTAAAAATACAAAAATTAGCCGGGCGTGGTGGCTTGCGCCTGTAATCCCAGCTACTCAGGAGGCTGAGGCAGGAGAACCGCCTGAACCTGGGAGGCGGAGGTTACAGTGAGCTGAGGTCACGCCACTGCACTCCAGCCTGGGCGACAGAGCGGGACTCTGTCTCAAATAAATAAATAAATAAAATAAATAAAAACACACACAAATCAGCATCATAAGGGAATGTAGCCTTCCAACAGAGATGATGCTGTTTTTATGTTAATCTCAGAGACAGTATTTCAAGAGAGTGGCAGGTCTGTTCCTGGTAAAATTTTAACCATTAGGATTGCAGATAAATATTGAATTCTGCTTCCCCCCTCATCAATCCAGGACAGTATTTGAAGTGTGAGGGCTTTGTGTACAGTTGTTTATCCATTGCCACATTTTTGTATTTTAATAGTCTACAGGCTATATAAAAGAACATGGCTTTTTGATTGATAAAAGTGATTACAGATGTTGGCTCAAGTTCAGGGCCACCATCATACACCGAACAAGAGTTCATGATTCTTTAGGTAATGTCAAAACATTTTGTATTTTTCTGTCTTAAGCTTTATAACATTTTGTGAGTGAGACAGATGTTGTTTAAAATTCTTGTTGTCAGTCCAGCAATTGAGGCTTTCATAGTTCAGTGTTAATAATATTCAGTAGGGACCCTCAACAAATATGTAAAAATATATTGCTCACTCTGTAATCTTCCTATGGCTAACCTCTAGGATAGTTCTGCCACTATATTTTACTTCTTTGCCATCAGCAAGAATAGGATCTCATCAAGGCAAGGTAGGAATCTAAATGAAATTGATATATAAATGAATTGATCTAAATGTAAAAGCAAATGAAAAATGCATGTGTTTTTTCCTATCAAACATGTATACCCTTATGTATAGAGACCAGTAGTCACCTGTGGTGACTGAAACAGGATTATGTAATCCCTAAAAAGCAGAATATGTAAAAATCACATGTATGCATTTGGTTTAGGAATGTGCTTTTGTACTTCCACTTGAATAAAGGTGTGTTTGGTATTCTGAGAATTTGTTTCAAACAAAATCTGAAGGTCTCAGCCAGAAGCATTTGGGAATGTTGGAATCACCTCTGGCTGCAACTCCTTTCCTTCCTGAAACTTGCTTCACAGCAAGAGTGGATCATTTTCCTTTGCATTGATGCAAAGCTTGCTTTTCCACAGACCTCTGGAACAAAAGCTGAATGTTTGGAACTTAAAGCAGATTTGATTGGGAAGTTGTTGGTATATAAAATAAGACTAAATAGGCCGGGCGCGGTGGCTCAAGCCTGTAATCCCAGCACTTTGGGAGGCCGAGATGGGTGGATCACGAGGTCAGGAGATCGAGACCATCCTGGCTAACACGGTGAAACCCCGTCTCTATTAAGAAATACAAAAAACTAGCCGGGCGCGGGCGCCTGTAGTCCCAGCTACTCGGGAGGCTGAGGCCGGAGAATGGCGTGAACCCGGGAGGCGGAGCTTGCAGTGAGCTGAGATACGGCCACTGCACTCCAGCCTGGGCGACAGAGCGAGACTCCGTCTCAAAAAAAAAAAAAAAACTAAATAGTTTGAGGTTTCAGTAGAACTAGGAATTTTTTTTTTTTTTTTTTTTGAGACAGAGTCTCATTCTGTTGCCCAGGCTGGAGTGCAGTGGCGCAATCTTGGCTCACTGCAACCTCCGCCTCGGGTTCAAGTGATTGTCTTGTGTCATCCTCCCAAGTAGCTGGGATTACAGGCACCTGCCACCTTGCCTGGCTGATTTTTGTATTTTTAGTAGAGACAGGGTTTCACTATGTTGGCCAGCCTGGTCTCAAACTCCTGACCTCAGGTGATCTGCCTGCCTCGGTCCCCCAAAGTGCTGGGATTACAGGTGTGAGCCGCCGTGCCCAGCCATATTTTTTAAATAAGTAAAACTTTTCCTGGGCGTGGTGGCTCATGCTTGTAATCCCAGCACTTTGGGAGGCCAAGGTGGGCGGATCTCCTGAGGTCGGGAGTTTGAGACCAGCCTGACCAACATGAAGAAACCCCGTCTCTACTAAAAATACAAAAAATTAGCCAGGCGTGGTGGCACATGCCTGTAATCCCAGCTACTCGGGAGGCTGAGGCAGGAGAATCCCTTGAACCTGGGAGGTGGAGGTTGGGATGAGCCAAGACCACACCATTGCACTCCAGCCTAGGCAACGAGCAAAACTCTGTCTCAAAAATAAAATAAAATAAAATAAAATAAAACTTAAAAAAATGCGGAATCAAAATAGTCCTTCAGGGCAATCCTTTAAGCAGCTATTTAAGGAGCCTGATACATGAGTTTGTGTTCTGAGTCATTTTGGTCTTGAAAGGGGAGAGAAGAGAAAAGAATAGTAGAGGGCACCTTTATCTTCTGTCTTTCCACGTACCTACACACACGTATGTTTGTACATATCTAAACTTTATTCTCAATTCTGCAAAGCAGCTAGCTTCATTTTACAGATGAATGTTTTAGTAAACATACCCCAGCCCTGGTGCAGTGGCTCACGCCTGTAATCCCAACCCTTTGGGAGGCTGAGGCGGGCAGATCACTTAAGGTCAGGAGTTTGAGACCAGCCTGGCCAACATGGCAAAACCCGGTCTATATTTAAAATAGAAAAATTAGCCAAGCGTGGTGTTGTGCGCCTAAAATTCCAGCTACCTGGGAGGCTGAGGCACAACAATAGCTTGAGCCTGGGAGGCAGAGGTTGCAATGAGCCGAGATTGCGCCACTGCAGTCCAGCCTGGGTAACAGAGAGACTTTGTCTTAAGAAAACACACAAAACAACAATATACCCCAAAGTGATGTTGGTATTACACAGATCTCAAAACCCAGAGAAGTTTGATAGCTCTTCATTCCCTAGTACATTGCTGATGACTCATTGTCATTAGTTTGCAACTGATCTCAAGCGCTCCCAGAGCTCTCTGGGATACTAGGAGAGAATATCCTGAGGTTTTTTTAGGGAGCTAGTCAAACCTGTGCTCTGAAACAGGTTTGGACAGTTTTGACAATGACAGGTCACAGGTCAGAGCTCCCAAATTCATATCTCCTGTCAAGATACCGCTGCTACCATCACTAGATTTGCATTTCCATTACACGGTGACCAAATTTACTCTTATATTTTTCTGATAACCAGAACTTGCTGGTGGACATGTATCCTTGCTACGAGTCACTGTCACCTCTGGTTATAGCAGTGGAGCAAAGTGGTAATGGGAAAATTCCTAGGTTTTTGGCCTGAGTAAAAGGGTGGATAGAAGTAGATGACAGGTGGGGAACATGGGGAGAGGAGCAGGAAGAGTTTTAGCAAAAGAGCTAGCATGTCAAGGCCTACATGTGAGAGTATGGCACTTTCAAGGTAATAAGTGAAGTCTGGAGAAATGCCTCACCCTAGGATGTAGTATGTGGGCAACTGAGGAGGTTGAAGAACCAAGTTCAAAGGAGGCCCCTAGAGATTAATCTAGAGAACCAAGCACTGTGGGATTCCCACATCTAAAAATGTTGCCTTCATTCATCCATTCATTCAGTAAACATTTAGCAGTGTAGGACTGGCATTGTTTGAGGAGGGATGCCCTAGATTTGGAGATCTTAACATGTAACTAGAGAATACATTGGCATCCTGGGCTGTGGTGAGAACTACCACCCAAAAGGTAACTCCTTGCCGGAGTCAGCAAACTAACATCTGTCCTTTTTCTAACATTTGTATAATATGGAACCACTTTTTTTTTTTTTTGAGACAGAATCTTGCTCTCTCGCCCAGGGTGGAGTGCAGTGATGCGATCTTGGCTCAGTGCAACCGCTGCCTCCCAGGTTTAAGTGATTTCCTGCCTCAGCCTCTTGTATGTGTATTTCATTCATGTTTATAAATTTACAACCTGGGCATAATAAAAGCATTTGTTTTTGTCTTTTCCCCATTTGCTCATGTTATAATGACACAGTCTTCCTCCATTGTCCTTTGTGGGTGCAGTTAGATGCCCCCGCTCTGGTATGAGCAGGCCAGGGTTCAAATGCTGCCTTTGTTACATACCAACTGCAGCTCCAGAATGTAAGATGGTAAAAAAAAAAACACCACCTGCACAGGACCGTTGAGAGGATTAATGAGTGTCAGTTTAAATGCTTCATAACTGGTAGTTGCTGTTTCTGAGTTTATCAGGAAACCCCTTATCATGAACAATTTGTCTCCTTAATCTTTTTTCTTCCTTTTCTGCTTCAATATATCTCATGCCTCTGGCAAACCAATACTCCTGGCGGGCTAGGTGATTGGCTCTTGGCGCCTTCTCTAAGGCTTTTCTTGCCCGTTCCCCCTGCCTATTTATAGGTGGTGCAAAAGTAATCGCGGTTTTTGCCATTTGTAAAAAATTGCAAAACCACAGTTACTTTTGCACCAACCTAATACATACTCCAGGCCAAACTGGGAGGCGTTGGGGTGCACACAGGGAGAGAAGAATAGGCTGGCCTGAGGGTGAAGAGCGCAGGCCCCGCAGGGTCAACCCGGCCAGCGGTCACGAAAGGAGGTGAAGTTGAGGGGAGGCGACATAGGGCAGGAAGAGGGGAGGACAAACGGGGTGCATATGGGGACCGTGGCGATGACACGGAAGGGACAGCCACTTAGGCGATGAAAGGCAGGTGAAGAAATCCCGTTCCATCTTCCTGCAGTCCTCCCTTGGGGAACCCCCATCCTATCCTGCTCTGGACCAGGGCGGTTCTTGGAGGGCCCGCGATCGAGATGAGGCCTCCGAGCCGCCCAGAATAGACTCCGAAGTGCGCGCAGCTGACCCCGCGGTTTCCTTGCGCCCGGTAGGGTGAGTGGGCGAGCTGCGCGCCCTCGTGCGAACAGAAGCGGGGTCCGCACCGTAGCGGCTGGAAACGCGGTTGACAGCGGGGCCCAGCTTGCAGGGCTCCCGGTCGCAGGGGCGGGGCCCGCCGCCGGTTTCTAAGGGCCTGGCTGCGTTCTTGCAGTCATGATCAGGGGTCTTCGCTTTCGCCCATCCCCTCCTGGAGAAAGAACGCAGCTTCTAACGCCTTCTCGGTTGGGCACCCTTCTGGGGAAAGCTCCGCCTACCATTGGCCTTGTACCTGCCTTCTCTCTCCCTTTCCTGAAGTGACTGCCTGTCTCTTGCATCATGTTGTGAATGTGTCGAGATCTTGGCGCTGCAGCAGCGTCGGAGATTGGATCCAGCCCACAGAGAGGTCCCCGGACTCCATTTGTCCGTCCCCAGGGCAGGGGCCTCGGAAGAGCAAGGGGGAGGAGCTGATCTAGCCGGCTGATCTTTGTGGCTTAGACAAAACTTTAGAGTTTGTTTGTCCTTCTGACCATGCTCTCAGATCAGATGGACAAGATTAGCCTTACACTTAGAAGCGTTGTGGTGCAAGACTAGTGACTTTTTTCCCCCTCCCTCCCTTTCCTTCCTTCCTTTCCTTCCTTCCCCCCTCCCTCCCTTCCTCCCTTCCTCCCTTCCTCCCTTCCTCCCTTCCTTCCTTCCTTCCTTCCTTCCTTCCTTCCTTCCTTCCTTCCTTCCTTCCTTCCTTCTTCCCTTCCGTCCTGCCTCCCTCCCTCCTTCCCTCCCTTTCTTCCTTCCCTTTATCCACCTCCTTCTCTTTTTTCTTTTTGAGACAGGGTCTCACTCTGTTACTCAGGCTGGAGTGCAATGGCATGATCATCACTCACTGCAGCCTCGACCTTGTGGGCTCAGATGATCCTCTCACCTCAGCCTCCCGAGTAGCTGGAACGACAGGCCCACACAACCACGCCCGGCTAATTAAAATTTTTTTTTTTTTTTAGAGACAGGGTCTCACTATGTTGCCCAGGCTGGTCTCGAACTCCTGATATTAAGCTATTCTCGCTCCTTGGCCTACCAAGATGCTAGGATTACAGGTGTGAGCCACTGTGCCCGGCCATGACTTTTTTTTTTTTTTCTTTTTTAACCTGAAGCTGTAGCCCATGTCAGTAAAGCCTGCAGCTAATGTTTCCTCTCTAACTGTGTAATATCTCCCTTAGATATTATGAACAATACCACAGGATGTACACCCACTGTGATATTAGGAGTAATATCTCCCTAAGATATTACGAATAATGTCAAAGGGTGTACCCCCATTGTGATATGAAGGTAATATTTCCCTTAGATATTACGAATAGTGTCATAGGGTGTACATTCACTGTGATATTAGGAGTAATATCTCCCTTAGATATTAGGAATAATATCACAGGGTGTACAGCCACTGTGATGGTAGCATTAAGATCTTTCTTAGATATTATGAACCCACTGTGACATTAGGAGTAATAGCTCCCTGAAATGAATAATATCATAGGGTATACATCCACTGTGAAATTAGAAGTAATATCTCCCTTAGATATTATGAATATTATCACAGAGTGTATAACCACTATGATATTAGAAGTGATATCTCTCTTAGATATTACAAATAATATCAAAGGGTGTACCTACAGGGTATAAACCCACTGCGATATTAGGAGCAATATCTCCCTTAGGTATCATAAATAATATCACAGGATGTATAGCCACTGTGATATTAAAAGTAATATTTTCCTTAAATATTATGAATAATATCAAACAATGCACATCTACTTTGATATTAGGAGTAATGCATTCCTTAGATATTACAAATAATATTAAAGGTTGTACATCTACTGTGATATTAGGAGTAATGTCTCCCTTAGATATTATGAATAATATAACCCCACCATGATATCATTAGTAATATTCAGGGGGGAAGAGGATGATAATACTGCCAATATCTCAGGGGGTGTACACCCCACTGTGATATTGTTCATAATATCAAGGGAGGGAGAGGTTGATATTAATTCCAATATCACTGCGGTTGTAGATATCCCTGTGATACTGTTCATAATACACAGAGGGAGACAGTATGATATTACTCCCAACATCGCAGGGGGTGTACACCTTCCTGTGATATTGTTTGTAATATCCGGGGGGAGAGGATGATATTACTCGCAATATTGCAAGGGGTGTACACCCCCCTGTGATATTGCTTGTAGCATCCAGGAAAAGAGAGGATGATATTACTCCCAATATCGCAGGGTGTGTACAGCCTCTGTGATATTGTCCGTAATATCCAGGGTGGAGAGGATGATATTACTTCCCATATCGCAGGGTGTGTACACCCCCCTGTAATATTGTCTGTAACATCCAGGAGTGGAGAGGATGATATTATTCTCCATATTGCAGAATGTGTACACCCCGCTGTGATACTGTTCCTATCATCCAGCGGGAGAGAGGGTCATATTACTCCCCATATCGCAGAAGGTGTACACCCCCCTGTAATATTGTTCATAACATCTGGCGGGGAGGGGATGATATTACTTCCCATATCGCAGGAGGTGTTCACCCCCCTGTGAAATTGTCCATAACAGCAAGAGGGAGAGGGAATGATATAACTCCCCATATCGCAGAGGGTGTACACCCCCGTGTGATATTGTACTTAACATCCAGGGGCAGGGAGGATGATATTACTCCTCATATAGCAGGGAGCGGACACTTCCTGTGATATTCATATTCAGGGGGGAAGAGGATGATATTGTTCTCCATGTCACAGAGGGTGTACACCTTCCTGTGATATTGTCCGTAATATCCAGGAAGAGAGAGGAAGATGTTAGTCCTCGTATTGCAGGGGGTGTACAACCCCCCCTGCGATATTATCCATAATATCAAGAAAGGGCGAGGATAAAATTACTTCCCATATCGCAGCGGGGAGGAAGATGTTACTCTTCATATCCCAGTGGGTGTACACCCCCCTATGATATTGTTTGTAATATCCAGAAGAGGAGAGGATGATGTTACTCCCCATATCCCAGTGGGTGTACACCCCCCTATGATATTGTTTGTAATATCCAGAAGAGGAGAGGATGATGTTACTCCCCGTATCGCCGGGTGTGTACACCCACATACGATATTGTTCGTAATATTTGGGGGGAGAGAAAACGATATTACTCCACATATTGCAGGGGGTGTATACCCCACTGAGATATTGTTCGTTATATCCAGAGGGGAGATGATATTACTCCCAATATCGTAAATACCCTTTGTGTACATTTTCTGTGATATTGTTCATAATATCCAGGGTGACAGAGGATGATATTACTCCCAATATCGCAGGTTGTGTACACCCTCCTTTGATATTGTTCGTAATATTCAGCTGAGGAGAGGATATTACTCCGAATATCACGGGGGGTGTACAACGCCCCGTGATATTGTTCATAATTTTCAGGGGGGAAGAGGATGATATTACCCCGAACATCGCAGGAGGTGTACACCCCCCTGTGATACTGTTCATAATATCCAAGGGGGGAAGAGGATGATATTACTCCCTATATCGCAGGAGGTGTGCACCATTCTGTGATATTGTTCTTAATATCCGGAGGGGGAGAGGATGATATTACTCCCTATATCGCAGGTGGTGTACATCCCCCTGTGATATTATTAATACTATCCAGAGGGGGAGAGGATGATATTACTCCCTATGTTGAAAGAGGTGTACACACCTCTGTGATTTTGTTTGTAATAGCCTGGTGGGGAGATGATGATATTACTCCCAATATCGCAGAAGGTGTACACCCCCCTGTGATATTGTTCCTAATATCCAGGGAGGGTGAGGATGATATTAATCCCAATATCACAGGGGGATGATCACTCCTCTGTGATATAGTTTGTAATATTTAGAAAGGGAGAGTATGATATTATTCCCAATATCGCAGGGGGTGTACATGTCCTGTGATATTGTTTGTAATATCCAGTGAGGGGAGAGGATATTACTCTCAACATCGCAGCGGGTGTACATTACCCTGTGATATTGTTTTTAATATTCAGGGGAAGAGAAGATGATATTACTCCCAATATCACAGGGGGTGCACCCCCCTGTGGTATTGTTTGTAATATTCAGGGAAGAAGATGATATGATTTTCAATATCGTAAACACCCTGTGTGTGCAAAGTCTGTGATACTGTTTGTAATATCCAAGGGAAGAGAAGATGATATTACTTCCCATATCGCAGAAGGTGTACATTTCTCTGCGATATTGTTCGTGACATTAAGGTGGGGAAAGGATGATATTACATCTCATATCGCAGGGTGTGTACACTCACTGTGATATTAGGAGTAATATCTTTCTTAGATATTATGAGTAATATAATACACAGTAGGTGTAAACCCATGGTGATATTATGAGTGATATCTCCCTTAGATATTACGAATAATATTACAGGGTTTACACCCACTGTGATACTAGGGGTAATGTCTCCCTTAAATATTACAAATAATTGAATAGTATCAGAGTGTACACCCACTGTGATATTAGTAAGAATATTTCCCTAGGATATTACAAATAATATCACAAGGTGTATACCCACCATGATATTAAAAGTAGTATCTCTGTTAGATATTATAAATAATATCAAAAGGTGTACACCCACTGTGATATTATAACATCTCCTTTAGATTTTATGATTAATATCACAGGGTGTACACCCACTGTGATATGAGGTTTACTATCTCCCTTACCTTAGATATTACGAATAATATCACAGGGTGTATATCCACTGTGATATTAAAGGTACTATCTCCCTTAGATATTATGAATAATATAACAGGGTGTACACCCACTGTGATATTAGAAGTCATATCTTCCTTACATTTTATGAATAATATTACAGGGGGTGCACACACAGGGTGTACACCCACTGTGATATTACGAGTAAGGTCTCCCTTAGATATTACGAATAATATCACTGGGTTTACACACAGGGTGTACAACCACTGTGACATTA